GAGGAGGTTAGAAGGGAATGAGGGGCTCCAGAGGGAGAGTAAGCAGGAGTCAGGCTGAGAGTCCGGGGGTGTAGACTGTCTGGGACTGGAAGTCATCGGTGGGGTTGGAGATCCTTCAGACTGGGCAGGGAAGTGGGGAACCGCTTCAAAAAGAACCTGTTTTCATGACAGGTGCTCTTTCTCACAACGTCAAACCAAACTGGCAAAGCCTATGGTGGTCACCAATGTTGCAAGAATCCCTGCCTAATTCACTTAGCCTTAGTCTAATATGTCTTCAGAAGCCCAAGCAAAGACTAATTTTTAAAGTAATGCCATGTCCAAATTGCTAATGTAGAACAATTTCTAGAATTTTGACAAACATTAAAGAGAAATAAAACAAGCCACTCTGGTCCACCAGTTTCAAAAGGACACTACTGCTGATGGGTCATATGTGGGAAATATTAACATGGCCATAATTCCATTTTTCATTGAGAGCTTAACAATGATAGTGAAATTTCAGTTGCTAGCTGACCCCTATCTGTTTCGCATACCGGCCAGGCTTAAACATTTCCCATTTTGGAACTGACAACAGCACGCAATATCTACTATGTTAAGAAAAAAAAAAAGTGCCAAATTGGAAGTACAGGCTAAAAGGAGCACGATGGCCACTGGGAAATATATTAAAAGTCTAAGGTCTATTTTTGAAAGAAAACCGTGAACTACTTGCTTACATGCAAGGAGCCAAAACAAAATTTAAATCAAAGTATGCAAAGCCAGCAAAAGTGAAAGAGAGGCTGGAGCCAAAAGATGCCGTTCAGATTCTAGAAGTGCAGGCTCCCGGCGTATTATGGGACAGAAGGCTTTGATAGGCAATACAGTCTAATAAGATATTCAGGGATTAAGTCAGTGTTTCACGGACAGATGTGTCCATGTGCCAGTTGTTGCTAAGCTTTAATTTTTCCCCCTGCAATGTTTAATTTATCACACTGGCGCTTTCTGAACTAGAACATCTGTAAACAAGGCTAAGAATGACCTCTTTCCAATTTTACATCCGTGAACAGTGCCCCTTCTTCGTGCTCTAATTTTAGATACCTTAAAGATAAATAAATCTGTGGGAGGAAGAAAAAAGAAGGCTTGTCTGACACTGTAATGTGTTCATCTTGGGCGAATACAAATTTCCTCCCCGCCTGGCTCTTGATGCACGCAACTGACTCGCTGCGCAAGCCGTAGTCAGGCATCCCCTTCCCAGCCAAACGCAATTCAACAAACTTCTGCTAAATATTTAACAGCCTCGTGTAGTAATTAGCAGCAAATAATGGGAGCTTAAATTGATAATTGCTCAGAAATGTCCTCTTGCCAACATTACAAGTTTCCCGCTCCTCCCTTTCCTCTTAGATTTTGAATCCCGGAAGATTTTTTTTTAAGGGACTCAGTTACTGAGATTACCCATGGTGACATTACTTGGCCCATGATCTTGCAGTCAAGTTGGGCTGTTTTGCTGTCAGCTGCAAGGTTCAACCCGCATTACTTATTTTAATTCTGTGTTTGAAATCCATTGCAATTTAAAGTTATGTACCTGAAAGCTGCTGGAACAGGGCATTGATTTAAAAACTGAGTGGCAGGCTTAGGATTTAAACTCTGGTCCACTGGATTCAAAAGGTCATCTGATTAGAATGAGAGAGGCACAAGGCTTGTAATTTATATTCAAAGGGTAACCTTTGTAGGGAGAAGGAGGGAGCAAGGACTCTTTCTGCTTTTCCATTCCATATGGACAAGGATTCCCTTCAACCAAATTCCAATAATTATGAAAAATAGTTTATTGAACTTCGAAAAAAGCAAAAGAAATGCCACTTCCTTGTAGTGTATTACTTCCTTTATTAAAAACACTGCCACACTCTCTAGAAGGTAAACTCATATTAAGAGTAAGTCAAACATGTTATAAATCATTAAAAATAACAGAAAAAAAAGTCTTTCCCCATCATAAGCAACCAAATGCTTATCTACTAGGGGATTTGCTTCAGTAGATATAAATACAAAGGATATAACTGTGAAAGGACGATGTTTGACTTGCATCATTTACATAATTAAACTGCGGAAGTTGTGTGTGTGCGTACATGCGCACACATGCGTGCACATACGCACATCCACGCCTGAGCCAGATGTTGGCCCGAGCATGTGCTGTGCAGAGGGGGAAAAGTTACATACGCATGTGGGTTCTACAGGCAAAGTCCTTGCTGTTGGCCTGTGATCTTTCTGTCTTTCACTGCCCCAAGTAGCCCTTGTTTTAAATTCCGAGAAAGTCCTTTTAACGTGCAAATATTTCACAAACCCAATTCTATTCGGGTGTCTCTGACTTAAAAAAAAAATACACGACTCTGGTTTGGAGAGAGGAGAAATAATTTCACAGTCAAGGTGGGTGCTTGTTCTCTTGCTTGTTTGTTCCTCTCCTTCCCCCCCTGCATGTTTTTGTGTACTGTAGAAAGGTTCCAGTCCCCTCCCTTTAATCAGCTCCCAGCCCCTCACCCCCTGCAATCACCGCTGGTCCTTAGCCAGTTCACACAGGCACCAAGAGAGGAAATCAGGAATGCTTCAGGGCTATCTCTTCTCCTACACTGAACCTTGTCAGGTCTTTGGGGTAGGTCTGTGTTTTCTCTTGTCCCTCATCCACTCTTGTCTCAGGATCTTTCAGGTCTTACAATGGCAGCGCTGCCCCCCGCTTTCCACGCAGCCAAGAAGAGCCTCTTTGTGATTCTGAAACTCCCACCTTAAACTCCCGGTCTCCTCCCACTTCCTGGGCACCTTTTCTGACATGGCTTTCCAGGTCTCTGTGGGACAGTTTTCTCACCTCTCATGGCACACAGAGCTCCTAGAAAGACGGCCCTTTAATTCCCCCGCACAAAGATGTGCTGTAACTATGGTGAGAGTAATCTATAACCCTCACATCCTTATATAATTTGCTACTCCAAGTTAATTTTAATTCATTACAATAAAGCAATATAATTTAAAAAATAACTCTTTAAAGTGAAGTATTTAACATGATCCTGGAAGAAAGGCCGCTTTGACTAACAGAGGGCCAGGCGGCAGGCGTGGTGCACACTCATGCAAATTCAAAGGTGAGCTGTAAACAAGTACACACACACAGCAACACCACCCCGCATAAAGGGCCTGGCAACGGGAGGCCTCATTCTAATCAGTCCTCAAAGGAACCTGCCATACAGAAGTGGCACTTATTCTAATTTAAAGCCCTCATGCTTGCTTCAGTGTTGCAAAATTTATAAAAGAATAACTTCATTAAGCCGCCTGGCACTTCAAACACAAATGCAAACCAGCCACAACACAGAAGGGGCTGGACAAGAGGAAGAGAGAGATTCCCAGAGAGTTGTTAACTCGGATATTCAAATGAAGTCTGCATTTGGGCAATTCTCTTCCCGATGACGGAGTTTGACATGCAACTTTCCTTCACCAAGGAATTCTGCTCTTTACTTCTATCCTGAGGCCTGTTGCTGCTAGCAGTCTGCTCAATCACACTGAACATCATTCAGAGGGCTCCAGCAAGCCACGTCCCATGCAGAAATACGTCTGGCAGGACCTAAGTGAACACTATTCAGTGTTCTTTTCCTGGTCTACAGAGAGGAGATTGATTCTGAATACCCACTATTACAGTTTCCATTTACCGGGTATAGATTTCAGACTCTTCTAAGTTGAAACACTCATGTAAAAAAAAAAATCCGCCCCCCCCGCCCCCCTTAACTTGGGTCTTTAAGAAAGTAAGCAAGAGTCAGGGCCAAGTGGAAACCATCTGCTTGACCCATGCACAGCACTGAAGAAAAGTTAGTGTCACATCCTAAAACACACACTTCTAAGGAAAATTCTTTGTCTCCCCTGAATCAAAGAAATGCTACAGTAAAATAACTTCAGCTAGATTTCTAAGCGACAATGCAGTTTGTCAGACACACATCATTTCATGCTCACTGTCAGCATGTTTCTCCAAATCTTTTTTTTTTTTTTTGGATGCAATGCAAAGACAAATCTAGAAACCTGTTGAAAAACTGCAAGCCTCTGAGGAAGTGTGTGTCACCTACAAGTTGTACTACGCACTGCCATCTAGAGGGATCCCAGTAATGAATGAGCCCTTTCCTGTTCAGGGTTTCTCAATACCCAAGTCCAAATTTGGGCAGAGATTCTGCTTCGAAGAGAATAAGCGTAAGCATTCCAAACTCTCGAAAATGGTCATCCGTGGATGGAGAAGAGGTAATGACCTCAGGGTGAAATCGCTTCAGGTGAATCTCTCCAAAGGCGCACAACAGAAGACGCTTAGCCCAGCTGTCTTTCAGAGCTGTCGCTCAGAGGAGAGTCCTGCTATAGGATACTCACGCCAGGCTGACGAGAGGACAGACTGACACGAGAGATGGGAGCATTCAAGTTATCACCCAAAACAACAACAAAAAGGCAGTGTGATGTGATTCATATTGTTCCTAGGACAAACAAATGCTGAAATTAATTCTCTACAGCTTTATAAATGTTTTTATAGTGCTGAAGGCTCTTTTACTTTCACATAATGCCATAGAGCGGTGAAGGTAAGTTTCTATTATTTTTCTTCTCCATGAATAAAATAGGGCTAATCAGATGGAATGAATGAGCTAATTCAATTACATTGTGCAATAAAATATGGATTATTGATCTTGTGGAGTTGGCAATGCATGAGGCAAATTCAAGTGAATGAAACCCGAAGATCCGAGTTTGACTATTTTTATACATGCTTCAATCTACTAGGACTGTTCCCACTTTGGCAACACCAGCGAAAGAAAACAACGCCAACTAATTAAACCCAGGGCTTCAAAAGGGGACAGATGAAGGGTCAACTCAGAGGGCTAGCGTGGAAGCCCGAGAAGGTCCCCTTAGCAGGGGAGAGATCCTTTGGTAGACTCCTACAACAGAGGGAGGGAGGAGACACGGACAGTCTCTCCCGGCCTGTCTGCGGCGTGGTAAGCGAAAAACTTATTTGGGAGACTGAAATTTACTTCATAGGCATCTTGCTACAAATCCAATCTGGTCCCATCATCAGAACGAATGTATTGTTGTGGCTTTGCGCTTGTGAGGCGGAACTTGTCTGAAATACAGCGCCGGACTGTTCTAGCAGAATCCTTTGGTCTTTTATCTCTTAAAAAAAAAAAAAAAGCAATAATCAACCCTGGTTAGAAAGAAAGCAGCTCTGAGTATGAGGGTCACGTGGAACAGAAGGCCTATGCAGCAAACACTAAAGGGAGAAAAGAAGGTGAGCTCTGATATTCGTGTATATTTACACACCTCAGTTCTGCCTTCCCGTTTCCCCTTATAAATCTGCCCCCAGATACTGTGGCATGCTGATTGCTGTTTGTGCTCCACCACGAAGTGCACACCAGACTGTCTCCTGTATTCCTTAGAAACTTCTCCCTGCTCCTCCCTGCAGAGCTAGGCCTTTTCCTCCTTTGGACCAGCTCCCCATCCTCACTACCTTTCCGCGGGCCGCTGCCAAGGGCCACCCCCCGGCCCCACGGCAACACAAACATACGATCTTTCCTCCCCTAATTTTTTCCTAAGAGTCGAAATGGGTTCTGTGTCTTGGTAGGTGTCCCTCCAAAGCACAGGCAAGCGGATGTGTGGCCTGTTTTCGGAAAAGACTTCGACAAAGGGGAGGAATCAGAGATGCTAAACAATGCTGCGCAAAGTTGCAGGCTGCTCGGCTACAGTCCAGAAAATGAATCCAATTTTTCATTCTGTCATTATAAATATTTCATTGCAAATGGTACTGATTTTCTGCAACTGTGGTTAAGCAAAGGGCCTCTGTGTGAATATTTAAGAAAAAAAAAAAAGGAGGAAGACAACGAAGAAGAAGGAGGGGGAATGAAAGGTTAGCAACCAATTAATTTCTTACTTTAAATGTAAAAGATTCTGGGAGAAATTCAACAGTGATGTAGTGTGTGACTCAAAGAAGAAGAAGAAAAAAAACATTTACTCTGCTCTTCTTCTGACAGTTTCTCATAAAATATCTGCAGCCCATCTATCTTTTAGTACTCCAGGCTCCTCTGGAGAGCAGAAAATGGTGGTTTAAAGCTCACTTCAGTGCCAGTCTGCGGGAGATTGCTTTCCACAGGACCCCCGCTGATGGAGGCCTAGGGGAAGAGGCCCAGGAGTTATTCAATCAGCCCGAGACTCTGGGGCGGCTGGGGGTCCTTTGAGGGCTGATTATAAAGCTGCCCTCCTGTTGCCTGCCTCGGAACAGAATGAAATGAGCAGCCTCTTGCTGAGCAGATTCTGCAAGAAGGAATTTCACCTGTCATGGAGTTTGTCAGAATTTCAGGATTTATCTTGGTGCAAAATTAATAAAATACCAACCAGGATTTCAGGCTGACTACTCAGCTGTGTCATCTCAAAGTGATCTTTCACCCAGGAAAACCTGGACAGTGAGCACAGCCATTCTTGCCCTACTTTCCCTTTGGAGGGGGAGCGAGGCTATGTAATACCACCCAGACATCAGGATGAGATTTTTGAACCAATTACACACAAGGCTGAATTACGTGTGGGTGCTACTGTCTTAATGTGTGACCTCTCACCTCGCCGCTGTGGTTCTAAAGCCTCTTTGGAATAAGCCCAAGTCTGAAGCATAAAAAGGCCATTTCTGCAGTTTATAACACAGTAGGTCCCCTATGGCATCACATCTGTTAAATGCATACACTGGTATTTCAGGCCTGAATTTGATTTATCTTTTAAAAAAGAGTACTAACAACAGACTGTGTTAAGAGCACAGATTGTGAAACATTACAGATTAATCTTGGGGCGGCCGGGAACGAGGAGGCGCGGTTTCATCGTTTGTGTGAACACGCATGCTCTCGTGTCCCGTCACCCTCGGGGCTCCCTGTGGGGGTGTGGGTGTGGGGTGTGGTGGGGGGAGGGCCCCGGGGGGGATGGGGCAGGCAGGGGACAAACCTCTCTGCCTGCTCTGGGGCTCCGGGCTGTAGCCAGTTCGGGCGTTTGGCATCTCTGCCCATTCTGCTGCAGAAGGTGGCTCGTACCACACAAATCACCAGAGCCACCACAAGTGGGGTTCTGCGAAGGTCAGGGTTTGATCATTTTGAGCTGAGGCTTGCAGAGCCCTGGGGCACTTAGCTTTGGTCCTCAGCGTGGGTGGCATCCCATCACAGATGGGGCAGGGTGTGGGGCCTGGCCTGGCGCTCACGCCACCGGCTGGCCTGAGCCACTGGACAGAGGGCACAAACATTTCTCAGATTTGACTCTGGACTCTGGACTCAGGTTCGGAACAGGCATATCTCCAATCGCAACATCCACCTTGTCTTGCATCCCTGGCCCCCCACCACGCTCAGACCATGGGTGCCTCTTACTAATTGGTGGTTGGCAGCACATCTCCAGCTCGCAGAGTCTGCCACTGGTTTAAGGCAATTGCTGCCTCCCTGTCCATTTTCCGATGGACATTTTCTAAAGGAGACATTAAACAACACTGTAATGAGTTCCTTCCAACTCTTCTCCTAGTTAAATGGCAGTCCCGTTTCGGAGAGCCACCTTTACGAAGCAGTAGTGGCCCGATAATATTAATACCAAGAGATCTCAGGAAAGAGTGAGAAAGGGAGAGGGAAAGCTTGCAAGTGAAGGCACAGATGGTGGGCGGGGACGCAGGGTGCTCAGCAGGCTTCAGTGGAGATGCATTAACTCCACAGAGGGATGAGGGCTGCCCACCAGTACCATCATGAATTATAACTGAGTATGGGAGTGCAGTCTTAGTGCCTGGCTCACAGCAAATAGACTGTTCTATTTTCCTGCCCAATCACCTTTCACCCTTAGAAACTCAAAGCACAGCAAAGCACACTGCTGATATTTAATGGTATTGCTGTAGCCTTTTATGTGTCTAGAAGGCACACAAACTTAGCAGATGTGCCCAGTGGTGTAAGTCAGATAATTATAAAATTAAGTTTTGGCAATGTCAAAAAGGAAACCTTTTACGGGCGATTGGGGTTTCCAGTGAGAGGTAGTCTTCTGTCAGCTGGGGGGACCGAATCAAAGCAGGAGGGGCCGCGAAAGATAGATGCCTGCCTCCCAGCCACGCTGGGTACCGGGGAAGAGCCTCCCTTTTGCTCACTTTTCTCCTCCTCTTACGGGAAGGCAGTTCCTGCCCAGCTGGTTAGTTCTCCCACTCGCTCATTCAATGAAGTTATCAATGAAGGAGGCCTGTTATTTTAGGCAGTTTAAAATTTCACCGCTTTTAAAGGACTTGTTTACCCTGCCTTTCACTCCCGCTTAAAGCCTTGGAGTTGCTGTTCTAAATGACAGCACCGCAAGCGAGTACTGCTTTTAAGCACTATTCATCTCGCCCGCCACATCGCGGGCTTTTACAGAACACTGCTTTCTCTCCAATAAGGGGAACTTACTCTTTCATAGCTGCAGGGCAGAGCCTGTTCCGAGCTGTAGATTCGCTGCAAATATAACAATAAAGGATACAAATGTGAATTCCTCTTAAAATACACGCTTGACTCTGAAGCTGCCTTGCCTTAGCAAACTCGATCAAGAGCAGCCTACCAATCTTTCTCCAAACGCACGGCAACAGCTCATTTCACGCGGCTGTCCGATGGATCGCCACATCGATGGATCAGAAGGCGCTGGAATGAATTCTTTGCTCATTTCAGGGGATTTATAGTTGAAGTCCATGATTACCATCTCTCTTTCTCTAATTGTCACAACAGTTGGATATGGAGGTGGTGTTTTCCAATAGTCGGGTAAAAGTTGGTAAACACAAAGGGTCTATTCTTGGCATTTTGTCTCTGCTAACATGAGGAAGCTGATCCATGTGTGGAGCAAACGTCTAAAATAGGAACATATGTGGGAGTTTAACGTGCCTCTCTGGACTGCAGAATGTTCTAGAAATTGGGATTTCCAGATCTCTCCAAAGGATCTGAGTACAAACGTGGTGAGACAGAGCTCTGTCTTTACAGGACAATCATGCCCGCAGTTTCTCGTTCCCTAAAGGAGGCAGATCTTCCGGCGCCGTGGCAGCAGGCTGTCTTGGCGACATAGAAGGTGGTGGGGCCAGCTAGAGACCAGCCAAAGCAGAATGTGGCAGAGGTGATGAACACTTCCAGGGGGTGGGGAGGGAGGGGGCTGTGAGGGGGCTGTGGAACTGGCCACAGTGCTCTTCAGTACACCCTAGCTGGATGCTCCATAAAGTCGCACTGATGGCAGTTCGGAGATGGCCATCTGTCGTCAACTCTGGGCCAGACAAAAAAATAATGTAATGGCAGATCGCTAACAACAGGGCTGTTGGAGGAGGGAAGGAGTCCTAGAATGAGGAGGTGGTGCTCCATCTTTTAATAGTGAAAACCAGCCATCGATATGAACATCAAGAAATTAATGGATGGAAAATTTTAAAAAACTGAGCTGGGGTATTGTAGAAACAATTCAGATGTAAATAAAGTGGTTTTAGCTTATTGCAATCACCTCTGCTGCCCTTCCTTCAGTCATATTAACCACTTGGTTCTTGAAAATTTGACGAGCAGGACACATGGTGAAGCAGTGAGGGCCAAATTTAGTAAAAGGTGAGCCCACGTTGTGCCTCCAAGCATGCGCACGCAGATTAGGCATTTATTGGTACAAAACGGGTAATTGAAAATGCATTTACTCATTTAGTCCAAATGAGTTCATTGTGACAATCATGCTTATCTATCTTTCTGGATGCTTGCTTAATTTCTAGACGCAGTCTTAGAAAAAAGCAAAATAAAGTTCCTCATCTTTAGATGCACTGTGAATGTTAGAAAATTTTAAACTCCCTTCTTTACTCAAGAAAAACCTTAGCTTTGTGCTACTGCATAGATGTTGGGGGGGGCAAAGGGGGAGAAAGAGAGAGAGGATGAGTGAATGAAAAACAGTCAAACTGAGGTTAGCCATGTTCTATTTCTTTGTCCTATATGATTAACTTTCTGCCTTCAATGGTAAGGCCAATCAATCCTGATTGAGTTATCCAATATTAATAGCTGAAAGTGATCAAAAGTAATGGTGAAAACATAGCACCAATCAATAAATCAATGCAAATGATTCAGTTCCTGGAGATTCGATCAAATAAAAGAGATAGATCAATTTAACCACTGAGCAAATTAAGTGGAAGTTGGTAGAGCACC